AAATAACATTCAGCCTTATTTTGTTTAATTGCGATTTTAACAAGCTATTGAATAAATCAGTAAAATTTCAGGTCCTGTTCTTGATTTCTTGCAAAAAAGTGTCTTATTTTCACTTTACAAAAGTATCATTTCCTGTCATTTTAGAGTGGGGACATATAAAATATTTTGTATCAAAGTCCCCACTACATCAGAAAAAATATAATTAAATATGCATGATGTACTATACTACTACATTTACTGTTTTTTTACCTCAGCTTAAAACTTCAACAACAATCTATCCATTCAGCACTTTTGCAATCGGCTGGCTTAATATTTTCCAATAGATATAAACAGAAAAATCTATATCTGTTGCCTTTCTGGTGTTGTTGTTGATCTTTTTCTTCCAATTAATCAAAAATTATTTCACATTGATCATGATAAATATCGTCTGCCATCTTGTCAACAAGTGTCATCAGCATATGCTGTTCTGACATCATGAAAAGTCCCTTGTTACTATATTTGGGTGTGAACTGGTACTGCTGGATTGTTATATCCACTCAGAATGCTAATATGATGTCATGGAAAGTCCCTTGTTACTATATTTGGGTGTGAACTGGTGTTGCTGGATTGTTATATACACTCAGAATTCTAATATGATGTCACGAAAAGTCCCTTGTTACTATATTTGGGTGTGAACTGGTACTGCTGGATTGTTATATCCACTCAGAATGCTAATATGATGTCATGGAAAGTCCCTTGTTACTATATTTGGGTGTGAACTGGTGTTGCTGGATTGTTATATACACTCAGAATTCTAATATGATGTCACGAAAAGTCCCTTGTTACTATATTTGTGTGTGAACTGGTGTTGCTGGATTGTTATATACACTCAGAATTCTAATATGATGTCACGGAAAGTCCCTTGTTACTATATTTGTGTGTGAACTGGTGTTGCTGGATTGTTATATACACTCAGAATTCTAATATGATGTCACGAAAAGTCCCTTGTTACTATATTTGGGTGTGAACTGGTGTTGCTGGATTGTTATATACACTCAGAATGCTAATATGATGTCATGGAAAGTCCCTTGTTACTATATTTGTGTGTGAACTGGTGTTGTTGGATTGTTATATACACTCAGAATGCTAATATGATGTCATGGAAAGTCCCTTGTTACTATATTTGGGTGTGAACTGGTATTGCTGGATTGTTCTATACACTCAGAATTCTAATATGATGTCATGGAAAGTCCCTTGTTACTATATTTGGGTGTGAACTGGTACTGCTGGATTGTTATATCCACTCAGAATGCTAATATGATGTCACAGAAAGTCACTCATTTCTATTTTTCAGGTACAAACTTGTATTGTTGGATTGCTTAAGGGTTGATATTATGTTTAATAAATTTGAATGTTACTTGTAAATATTGACATGATAAAGTATGATTGAATAAAATCAAGTGAGAAGCCATTAGGCTACAGGTCAAGATCATCAGGCCAAAGGTCAAGGTTAAATTTGAATTGTTTTATTACTTTGTTCACACAGTCTTTAAGCAATGTCCAAGTTGCCTTGAGAGATCTTTTAAAAATAGCATTTATAGTATTCAGAGCATATAAGCAAAAAGCCAAAAGGCTGTAATAGTGGACTTAAAACCTACTCAGTAAATACGTTAACAGAACTTCATATTTGTGGTATGGGTACCTCTTGGTGAGGTGGTATGTCAATAGTAGACTGTATTTCACTGAATGGTTTTGTTCCTGTTAGTCTCATGCAATTGTCAAAGAATACGAAAAAAATATTTGTTGTACACAGAACTCTTTGTTATACATGTACACAGAACTCTTTGTTATACATGTACACAGAACTCTTTGTTATACATGTACACAGTTATACATGTACACAGAACTCTTTGTTATACATGTACACAGAACTCTTTGTTATACATGTACACAGTTATACATGTACACAGAACTCTTTGTTATACATGTACACAGAACTCTTTGTTATACATGTACACAGTTATACATGTACACAGAACTCTTTGTTATACATGTACACAGAACTCTTTGTTATACATGTACACAGTTATACATGTACACAGAACTCTTTGTTATACATGTACACAGTTATACATGTACACAGTTATACATGTACACAGAACTCTTTGTTATACATGTACACAGTTATACATGTACACAGTTATACATGTACACAGTTATACATGTACACAGTTATACATGTACACAGAACTCTTTGTTATACATGTACACAGAACTCTTTGTTATACATGTACACAGTTATACATGTACATAGTTATACATGTACACAGAACTCTTTGTTATACATGTACACAGTTATACATGTACACAGAACTCTTTGTTATACATGTACACAGAACTCTTTGTTATACATGTACACAGAACTCTTTGTTATATATGTACACAGTTATACATGTACACAGAACTCTTTGTTATACATGTACACAGTTATACATGTACACAGAACTCTTTGTTATACATGTACACAGTTATACATGTACACAGAACTCTTTGTTATACATGTACACAGAACTCTTTGTTATACATGTACACAGTTATACATGTACACAGAACTCTTTGTTATACATGTACACAGTTATACATGTACACAGAACTCTTTGTTATACATGTACACAGTTATACATGTACACAGTTATACATGTACACAGAACTCTTTGTTATACATGTACACAGTTATACATGTACACAGAACTCTTTGTTATACATGTACACAGAACTCTTTGTTATACATGTACACAGTTATACATGTACACAGAACTCTTTGTTATACATGTACACAGTTATACATGTACACAGAACTCTTTGTTATACATGTACACAGTTATACATGTACACAGAACTCTTTGTTATACATGTACACAGAACTCTTTGTTATACATGTACACAGTTATACATGTACACAGAACTCTTTGTTATACATGTACACAGAACTCTTTGTTATACATGTACACAGAACTCTTTGTTATACATGTACACAGTACACACAGTTATACATGTACACAGAACTCTTTGTTATACATGTACACAGAACTCTTTGTTATACATGTACATAGTTATACATGTACACAGAACTCTTTGTTATACATGTACACAGTTATACATGTACACAGAACTCTTTGTTATACATGTACACAGTTATACATGTACACAGAACTCTTTGTTATACATGTACACAGTTATACATGTACACAGAACTCTTTGTTATACATGTACACAGTTATACATGTACACAGAACTCTTTGTTATACATGTACACAGTTATACATGTACACAGAACTCTTTGTTATACATGTACACAGTTATACATGTACACAGAACTCTTTGTTATACATGTACACAGTTATACATGTACACAGAACTCTTTGTTATACATGTACACAGTTATACATGTACACAGAACTCTTTGTTATACATGTACACAGTTATACATGTACACAGTTATACATGTACACAGAACTCTTTGTTATACATGTACACAGAACTCTTTGTTATATATGTACACAGTTATACATGTACACAGAACTCTTTGTTATACATGTACACAGAACTCTTTGTTATACATGTACACAGTTATACATGTACACAGAACTCTTTGTTATACATGTACACAGAACTCTTTGTTATACATGTACACAGTTATACATGTACACAGAACTCTTTGTTATACATGTACACAGTTATACATGTACACAGAACTCTTTGTTATACATGTACACAGTTATACATGTACACAGAACTCTTTGTTATACATGTACACAGAACTCTTTGTTATACATGTACACAGTTATACATGTACACAGAACTCTTTGTTATACATGTACACAGAACTCTTTGTTATACATGTACACAGTTATACATGTACACAGAACTCTTTGTTATACATGTACACAGTTATACATGTACACAGTTATACATGTACACAGAACTCTTTGTTATACATGTACACAGAACTCTTTGTTATACATGTACACAGTTATACATGTACACAGAACTCTTTGTTATACATGTACACAGTTATACATGTACACAGAACTCTTTGTTATACATGTACACAGTTATACATGTACACAGAACTCTTTGTTATACATGTACACAGTTATACATGTACACAGAACTCTTTGTTATACATGTACACAGTTATACATGTACACAGAACTCTTTGTTATACATGTACACAGTTATACATGTACACAGAACTCTTTGTTATACATACACAGTTATACATGTACACAGAACTCTTTGTTATACATGTACACAGTTATACATGTACACAGTTATACATGTACACAGAACTCTTTGTTATACATGTACACAGAACTCTTTGTTATACATGTACACAGTTATACATGTACACAGAACTCTTTGTTATACATGTACACAGTTATACATGTACACAGAACTCTTTGTTATACATGTACATAGTTATACATGTACACAGAACTCTTTGTTATACATGTACACAGTTATACATGTACACAGAACTCTTTGTTATACATGTACACAGAACTCTTTGTTATACATGTACACAGAACTCTTTGTTATACATGTACACAGTTATACATGTACACAGAACTCTTTGTTATACATGTACACAGTTATACATGTACACACAACTCTTTGTTATACATGTACACAGAACTCTTTGTTATACATGTACACAGAACTCTTTGTTATATATGTACACAGTTATACATGTACACAGTTATACATGTACACAGAACTCTTTGTTATACATGTACACAGTTATACATGTACACAGAACTCTTTGTTATACATGTACATAGTTATACATGTACACAGAACTCTTTGTTATACATGTACACAGTTATACATGTACACAGAACTCTTTGTTATACATGTACACAGAACTCTTTGTTATACATGTACACAGTTATACATGTACACAGAACTCTTTGTTATACATGTACACAGAACTATCATTATGTACCGTTATGTTGTAGGTCAGTGACCAAACCCCAACACATAGAGGTACCGAGATCCTTGGTGGAAGTGGTCACTTACTGGAATCTTCCAATGCACTACTGGCTCAAAACATGTAAGTATTGTCTGATAGCCCAGAGTTATAAACTATGAACTCTGGGTCTTAAGGCTGGGAATCAAAAGAATATTGATTTTAGGTAAGAAATGAGTCATTAGTAGACTTTTTAGCCACCAATCATCAGAGGGTGGGCCATTCAAATTGTCTTACATCCATGATCTGCCTTCCGTAAACAGTTTTCGTCATTGCTATTTCTTGAGAAGTACTGGATGAATCTTTATCAAATTCCATATATAGGTTCACCTTGGTCCGTAGTTATGCCCACTTGACTTTGGGACTGATCTGACAAATAAAATGGCCAACAGGCGCCCATCTTGTATTTTACAAAGTAAAGTTTGTTATTGCTATTTCTTGAGAAGTACTCAATAGATCTTTTTCATATACAGGTTTTCCTTTGTCTTTATTGTGCCCATTTGATTTTGGGACTAATCAGAAAAACAAAATGACTGACTGGTGGCCATCTTTGATTTTTACTTTGAAGGTGTGTTATCGCTATTTCTTGAGAACTAGATCATAGATTTTTGTATCAAATTTCTGGTATATGTTTCTATGGATCCCTAGATGTACCTGTTAGGTTTTGGTTCTGACCAGAAAAAGAAAATGGCCAACTGGTAGCCATTTTGGATTTTGATTTTGATAAGTAATCATTGCTTCTTGAGAAATACCTCTTAGATATTTCTCAAATTTTATGTATAGATTCCTCTTGGTCCCTAGTTTTGAGTATTTTTTAGTTTGGACTGATCAGAAAAACAAAAAGTTGGACAGGCAGCCATCTTGTATTTCACCGAGTAAAGATTGTTATTCCTTTTCCTTAAGAAGTCCTGAATGGATTTCTCTCAAATTTCAAACACAGGTTCCCTGTGGTTTCTGCTTGTGTCTGTTTCAATTTGGGATTGATCAGAAAAGACAAAATGGCTTTTAGGCTTTCTTGGCAGGTAAAGATTATCATTGTTATTTCTGCAAAGGAATATTCAAATTTCTTATCATTAAGAGAAAAAACAGGGAAAAGAAAGGGAAAAGATTCAACTTTCAAAGAGCAAATAAAGATCGCACAATGATGGGTGTCAAGATCTCTCTGGGGTCTCTTGTTTAAATAAAAAGTCCATCTAAAATATTTATGGTCATTAATTTCTGAGTTACCCCCCCTTAAGATCTATCTCAGGTATGGTCAAAGTCATTTATTATCTCGAGTTTTCACTTGAATAACCCCAAATGTCCATCTCAAGTCAGTGTTATGTCATTCCCAAGGTTACTAGCAAGGTTCATACTGTAGGTATGATACAGGTTTTACTGAACCCTAAATATCAAGTTGTTTAGCTGCCAAAATGGGGGCTTCAGTTCCTCAGTGAGTAAAACATTTCAACCTCTGGCAAATATCAAATATGTATGGTTTAACTAGGGATGGAATTAGAAGTTCTGATAACACAACCAGTAGAAACACTCTGGCCCCCTTTGTCTCTATTAAATAATGGCCAGCTTCGTCATATCCAGATGGCTTCCTTAACCAGCTGTCTGAAATGATTGTTTTTCCTGTTGACTGTTTCGGAATTTTTTCAGTCAGCGTAACGATTTTGCTTTGAGGAATGATCTGTAATTGCAGTTTTTATCAGGGACTGTGAATGTTTTCATTCTGATCTAGTGAATTTTCTGCCTTCTTGGGATTCTGTGTCTTTCTAATGTTCATTGAGCCAGACCCAAAACTTCCTGCCTGTTTCCCCAAAGGATGATGTCAGAATGTTTTCTTTGGGTGTTTTATCCTTAGGACAGACTAGGATATGTCGGAGTGTCTTGTGAGGTTTCATGTCTGCTGCGATGCCATGACCATGGTATTTCCTCTGAATGGTCTCTAACTCCAATGACAAATTGTCCTTTCGTTTTGTTCTCTTTTATGATGTTTTGTCTCTTTGTCTTTTTGTTTGCATTAAATTTATTGTTAACTGTTTGTTACATTGTTACCACCTGGTGTATTACTTAGTCTAAAATCTGTTCACCATCTCGTCACACTATTTTTCACCTTAGTTAAAAAAAAAAAACAGTTGATTCCATACCGTCTGAAACACTATGTGCATCAGTGCTAGTATGCTCAACACTAGTCATTTGTCTGATAAAGGTGACCATGTGGTCATCAAATTGTCACACTCTAATCTTCTACTGGTTGTGTTATAAGATGAAGGTGACTGTGTAGTTGTGGAAACGTCACACTCTAAGCTTCTACTGGTTGTGTTATAAGATGAAGGTGACCGTGTAGTCGTCGAAACGTCACACTCTAATCTTCTACTGGTTGTTTTATAAGATGAAGGCGACCGTGTAGTCGTGGAAACGTCACACTCTAATCTTCTACTGGTTGTGTTATAAGATGAAGGTGACCGTGTAGTCATCGAAACGTCACACTCTAATCTTCTACTGGTTGTGTTATAAGATGAAGGTGACTATGTAGTCATCGAAATATCACACTCTAATCTTCTACTGGTTGTGTTATAAGATGAAGGTGACCATGTAGTCATCGAAACAACACATTCTAATCTTCCACTGGTTGTGTTATAAGATGAAGGTGACTGTGTAGTCGTGGAAACGTCACACTCTAATCTTCTACTGGTTGTTTTATAAGATGAAGGTGACCATGTAGTCATCGAAACGTCACATTCTAATCTTCCACTGGTTGTGTTATAAGATGAAGGTGACTGTGTAGTCAGGGAAACGTCACACTCTAATCTTCTACTGGTTGTGTTATAAGATGAAGGTGACCGTGTAGTCATTGAACCGTCACACTCTAATCTTCTACTGGTTGTGTTGTAAGATGAAGGCGACTGTGTAGTCATCAAAACGTCACACTCTAATCTTCTACTGGTTGTGTTATAAGATGAAGGTGACCATGTAGTCATCGAAATGTCACACTCTACTCTTCTACTGGTTGTGTTATAAGATGAAGGTGACTGTGTAGTCGTGGAAACGTCACACTCTAATCTTCTACTGGTTGTGTTATAAGATGAAGGTGACCGTATAGTCATTGAACCGTCACACTCTAATCTTCTACTGGTTGTGTTATAAGATGAAGGTGACCGTGTAGTCGTGGAAACGTCACACTCTAATCTTCTACTGGTTGTGTTATAGGATGAAGGTGACCATGTAGTCTTGGAAACGTCACACTCTAATCTTCTACTGGTTGTGTTATAAGATGAAGGTGACTGTGTAGTCATGGAAACGTCACACTTCAGTTTTCTACTGGTTGTGTTATATGACCTTCTTATTCTATTGACATTACCAACCTGAAGAAAATGTTCCAAACTACCCTACTAGGGATGGTTTGTGTTTTTCAGGACAGTAAGAACACAGATTGTCCATTACTAACATGATTGTGTCTAGGGCAAGATAATTTACGCAGATAGCTTTCAATAAAATGTGGTGGGCCTCCTGTATGTTGTTCAGTGAGCTAGTCACATGTTCCAGCTACAATGTTCTACATGTGGACCCATCCTCAATATACCCCTTGTTATTGCTTAGTGGGTAAACCCAGTTAACAAACAAGTTGTCCTATTTTGTGTTACCTATAGATACATTGTCTGAAATCTCATGTTATTGAGATCAATGTGATAACATTCTCACATGAACTTTCTTCAAAATTACTTGCAGAGGTGATTTTTTCTAAAGCCAAGCTAATGTATTTTCAGATGTGTTTAAACCGTCCCGGATATTTGGAACATTTGTGGCAGTTATTCTGACATATGCTGCTAGCTCTTTACTACATGTAAGTGTGGACAGATTAAACCAACACACTCCCTTTTTACTAAAATCTTATCTATTCTTTTATTTTACAATTTGAAAATGATGTTTCTTGTATACTACTTTTTATTAATTAAGTTGTAATGTAATGCTGTCTGTTACTATTCACTATAATTATTGATGTTTTGTCTGCAGTCAAATTCTATTTTCATTTTCTTTTAATTGATCAATGATAATTAATTTCTTCAGAGATCATATTAACAGGCCAAACGTGCTACTTGAGCTTTGTTCCTTTTTTCAGGGTTTAAATTTCCAGCTAGCTGCCGTTCTTTTTTCGTTAGGATTTTATTCGTATGTTGAATTTGGTGAGTTTATGTAGAGCAACTAATAATCGAAAATGAATCCAGCAAATTTAATGTAAAAATACCATGATACTTGTATATACATTTATATGTCGTGTTTTTATACGCCGCCGGAGGCAGTCGCATATTGGCGTTATCTTCTCCGTCTGTCCGTCCGTCCGTACGTACGTCCATTTCTTGTGAATGCAACTCCTCCTAAACTAATCATCAGATTTTCATGAAACTTGCCCAATGTCACTACTACAATGGGTAGATGTGCATGAAGGGGCGATTTTTTGGTTCGTTGATTTTTGTAAGATTTATGCCATTTTCAACTTTGTACCTGTAACTTGCTCATAGTGGAGCCTTGTGGACGCAACTCCTCCTAAACTAATGATCAGATTTTCATAAAACTTGCTCAATGTCACTACTACAATGGGTAGATGAGCCAGAAGTGGCGATTTTTACGGTTTTTCTTGATCTTGATATTTTGTGGCAGTGTATATTGTGTCCACGGCACTCTTGTTATTAGATACGTTTTGATTTGGACAATTCTTTCTGGTATATGCCTCTCTATAAGTGAAATCAGTTCTCAGGCTGTCTGCAACATTGTGTTAATTGGAAATTATTTTGGGATTAGCATACTTTCACAGAAAATTTTTCAACTTAAATTGTGCTGTTGTACAAATTATTACAATACAAGTCATCTAATTCTAGATTCAAGAATTCTAATTCATGAACTTGCTTTATTTTCAAATGTTACATTAAGAACGATCTTGCAGTGTTGTGAAATTGTCCGTTGTTTTCCTAAAACAACACCTGATAGAGTAACAAAAAATGGTTTATGTTACTTAGGTAAATAGTATCAATCACAAGTCTGTGGAGTAGATGGTTTTGAGATTATTTAGGTATTCGTCGACCGGTTTTGCCGAGGGCGAGGTCCTCCTTCAGCTGGTCTATGGCCTGCTCCATTATTGGTCTTGATTTTTCAGAGGGGCAAAACCAGTCGACAAATACCTAATAAATCTAAAAAAATCCACTCCACAGACTGTTGTGGTTGGTACTATTTACCTGATTTCCTCTATTGCCCAATCACTACATACCATGTGGTATCCAGCTGAGGCGTGAAGGACCCTACAAACCACCCAACCAGAACGTACGGCGTTGGCTCAATTACTTGTATTCTTATATGTTTATGTTACTTTTTACAAGCTACAATTGTCTTAAGTACTTCTTGAAAATTCAGTTCAGCTGAAGTCCATGCATCATTTCTGCTAGTTTTGTTTGAAGTATTTTAAAGTCACTCTGAGAAATTCTCTTTTCTTGATGTATTTTGAATTGACAGTTTTTAGGAATAAGTTGTCCAGAATATTCAGTGCCTGTATCCAAGCCAAGAGGTGCCCTGATGACTGTGGTCATGATTATAAGTCGGTAAGTTGTTATTTATTTGTTGGTATGTTAGTTCATTCTAATACATATGCCTTACATACTATTTATGTGTACAATATACATGTAATTCTTGTTGCCAATGCTTGGCTTAAAAAGGTTTCAAATGGAAGTTTCTGGTATCTATACTATCAGATGTTATACAGTGGACTGTACACAGCATCATCCATGCTTACAACTTATCATTTTTGTGCATGTTAAATTTTCCCAAATATTTGAAGTGGGGAGGGGGAGGGAGTAAAAAAAACATAATTTAAACTATAAACTTATAATATTCACTGTATTGGCCATATTGAATGGTGTCAAAAGTATCCCAGATTTTAGTATGTTGATATGACTATAATCACAGTATCGTGCTTGGAATAACGAATATTCTTAAGTCGGATAAATAACAAAATCATTTTATCACAGTGGATAATCAAGGATTTAGAGCTGATGGTAAATATACATGCTATTTTATTTGTAATCACTGATTTCTTCCTCTACAGTATCATCCCTTAGTACTCCTGACAAATGTGTGTTTTGGATTGTTGGCTCTATTTCATCTGGCATACCTTGGTCTCATGTTTGACAGCAGTAGAGAACAAGACAAGGTGAGTGACTCCTTAATAGCAGAGAGGGCAATATTTTATCAATCTCTGACTTGTCTACCCTTGATTTGTCTACCCTTGATTTGTCTACCCTTGATTTGTCTACCCTTGGTTTGTCTACCCTTGATTTGTCTACCCTTGATTTGTCTACCCTTAATTTGTCTACCTTTAGTTTGTCTACCCTACCCTTGATTTGTCTACCCTTAGTTTGTCTACCCTTGATTTGTCTACCCTTGGTTTGTCTACCCTTGATTTGTCTACCCTTAGTTTGTCTACCCTACCCTTGATTTGTCTACCCTTAGTTTGTCTACCCTTGGTTTGTCTACCTTTAGTTTGTCTACCCTACCCTTGATTTGTCTACCCTTGGTTTGTCTACCCTTGGTTTGTCTACCCTTGATTTGTCTACCCTTAGTTTGTTTACCTTTAGTTTGTTTACCTTTAGTTTGTCTACCCTTAGTTTGTCTACCCTTGATTTGTCTACCCTTGGTTTGTCTACCCTTGATTTGTCTACCCTTAGTTTGTTTACCTTTAGTTTGTTTACCTTTAGTTTGTCTACCCTTAGTTTGTCTACCCTTAGTTTGTTTACCTTTAGTTTGTCTACCCTTGGTTTGTCTACCCTTGATTTGTCTACCCTTAGTTTGTCTACCATTAGTTTGTTTACCCTACCCTTGATTTGTCTACCCTTAGTTTGTCTACCCTTGGTTTGTCTACCCTTGATTTGTCTACCCTTAGTTTGTCTACCTTTAGTTTGTCTACTTTTAGTTTGTCTACCATTAGTTTGTCTACCCTACCCTTGATTTGTCTACCCTTAGTTTGTCTACCCTTGATTTGTCTACCCTTAGTTTGTCTACCCTTGGTTTGTCTACCTTTAGTTTGTCTACCCTTAGTTTGTCTACCCTTGATTTGTCTACCCTTGGTTTGTCTACCCTTAGTTTCTCTACCCTTGGTTTGTCTACCCTTAGTTTGTTTACCCTTGGTTTTTCTGCTTTTGAATTATCTATCTCTGGTTTGTGTCTGCTATTTGTTTGTCTGCCTCTAGTTTGTGTCTACTGTTGGTTTGTGTCTTGTGTCTACTGTTTGTTTGTCTGTCTCTGGTTTGTGTCTGCTAATTGTTTGTCTGCCTCTAGTTTGTGTCTACTGTTGGTTTGTGTCTAATGTTGGTTTGTCTGTCTCTGATTTGTGTCTACTGTTGGTTTGTCTGTCTCTGGTTTGTGTCTACACTTGGTTTGTCAGCCTCTGGTATGTGTCTTATGTTGATTTGTCTGCCTCTGGTTTGTGTCTACAGCTGGTTTGTCTGCCTCTGGTTTGTTTCTACTGTTGGTTTGTGTCTACTGTTGGTTTGTCTGTCTCTGGTTTGTGTCTACTGTTGGTTTGTTTGCCTCTGGTTTGTGTCTACTGTTGGTTTGTCTGTCTCTGGTTTGTGTCTACTGTTGGTTTGTGTCTACTGTTAGTTTCTTTGTCTCTGTTTTGTGTCTACTGTTGGTTTGTGTCTACTGTTGGTTTGTCTGCCTCTGGTTTGTGTCTACTGTTGGTTTGTCTGTCTCTGGTTTGTGTCTACTGGTGGTTTATCTGCCTCTGTTTTGTGTCTACTGTTGGTTTGTCTGCCTCTGGTTTGTGTCTACTGTTGGTTTGTCTGTCTCTGGTTTGTGTCTACTGTTGGTTTGTGTCTACTGTTGGTTTGTCTGTCTCTGGTTGGTGTCTACTGTTGGTATGTGTCTACTGTTGGTCTGTTTGCCTCTGGTTTGTGTCTACTGTTGGTATGTGTCTACTGGTCTACTGTTGGTCTGTTTGCCTCTGGTTTGTGTCTACTGTTGGTATGTGTCTACTGTTGGTCTGTTTGCCTTAAGTTTGTGTCTACTGTTGGTTTGTGTCTACTGTTGGTATGTGTCTACTGTTGGTATGTGTCTACTGTTGGTTTGCTGCCTCTGGTTTGTGTCTACTATTGGTTTGTGTCTACTGTTGGTTTGTCTGCCTCTGGTTTGTGTCTACTGTTGGTTTGTCTGTCTCTGGTTTGTGTCTAATGTTGGTTTGTCTGCCTTTGGTTTGTGTCTGCTGTTGGTTTGTCTGCCTCTGGTTTGTGTCTACTGTTGGTTTGTGTCTACTGTTGGTTTGTCTTCCTCTGGTTTGTGTCTACTGTTGGTTTGTCTGCCTCTGGTTTGTGTCTACTGTTGGTTTGTCTGTTTCTGGTTTGTGTCTACTGTTGGTTTATCTGCCTCTGGTTTGTGTCTACTGTTGGTTTGTCTGCCTCTGGTTTGTATCTACTGTTGGTTTGTGTGCCTCTTGTTTGTATCTACTGTTGGTTTGTCTGTTTCTGGTTTGTGTCTACTGTTGGTTTATCTGCCTCTGGTTTGTGTCTACTGTTGGTTTGTCTGCCTCTGGTTTGTATCTACTGTTGGTTTGTCTGCCTCTGGTTTGTATCTACTGTTGGTTTGTCTGTTTCTGGTTTGTATCTACTGTTGGTTTATCTGCCTCTGGTTTGTGTCTACTGTTGGTTTATCTGCCTCTGGTTTGTGTCTACTGTTGGTTTGTCTGCCTCTGGTTTGTATCTACTGTTGGTTTGTGTGCCTCTTGTTTGTATCTACTGTTGGTTTGTCTGCCTCGGGTTTGTGTCTACTGTTGGTTTGTCTGCCTCTGGTTTGTATCTAATGTTGGTTTGTCTGCCTCTGGTTTGTATCTAATGTTGGTTTGTCTGCCTCGGGTTTGTATCTAATGTTGGTTTGTCTGCCTCGGGTTTGTGTCTACTGTTGGTTTTTCTACCTCTGGTTTGTATCTAATGTTGGTTTGTCTGCCTCGGGTTTGTATCTACTGTTGGTTTGTGTGCCTCTTGTTTGTATCTACTGTTGGTTTGTCTGCCTCTGGTTTGTATCTACTGTTGGTTTGTCTGCCTCTGGTTTGTATCTAATGTTGGTTTGTCTGTTTCTGGTTTGTGTCTACTGTTGGTTTATCTGCCTCTGGTTTGTGTCTACTGTTGGTTTGTCTGCCTCTGGTTTGTATCTACTGTTGGTTTGTCTGCCTCTGGTTTGTATCTACTGTTGGTTTGTCTGTTTCTGGTTTGTATCTACTGTTGGTTTATCTGCCTCTGGTTTGTGTCTACTGTTGGTTTATCTGCCTCTTGTTTGTATCTACTGTTGGTTTGTCTGCCTCGGGTTTGTGTCTACTGTTGGTTTGTCTGCCTCTGGTTTGTATCTAATGTTGGTTTGTCTGCCTCTGGTTTGTATCTAATGTTGGTTTGTCTGCCTCGGGTTTGTATCTAATGTTGGTTTGTCTGCCTCGGGTTTGTGTCTACTGTTGGTTTGTCTACCTCTGGTTTGTATCTAATGTTGGTTTGTCTGCCTCGGGTTTGTATCTACTGTTGGTTTGTGTGCCTCTTGTTTGTATCTACTGTTGGTTTGTCTGCCTCTGGTTTGTATCTAATGTTGGTTTGTCTGCCTCGGGTTTGTGTCTACTGTTGGTTTGTCTGCCTCGGGTTTGTGTCTACTGTTGGTTTGTCTGCCTCTTGTTTGTATCTACTGTTGGTTTGTCTGCCTCTGGTTTGTATCTAATGTTGGTTTGTCTGCCTCGGGTTTGTGTCTGCTGTTGGTTTGTCTGCCTCGGGTTTGTGTCTACTGTTGGTTTGTGTGCCTCTTGTTTGTATCTAATGTTGGTTTGTCTGCCTCGGGTTTGTGTCTGCTGTTGGTTTGTCTGCCTCGGGTTTGTGTCTACTGTTGGTTTGTGTGCCTCTGGTTTGTGTCTACTGTTGGTTTGTCTGCCTCGGGTTTGTGTCTAATGTTGGTTTGTCTGCCTCGGGTTTGTGTCTACTGTTGGTTTGTCTGCCTCGGGTTTGTGTCTGCTGTTGGTTTGTCTGCCTCGGGTTTGTGTCTACTGTTGGTTTGTCTGCCTCGGGTTTGTGTCTGCTGTTGGTTTGTCTGCCTCGGGTTTGTGTCATCTTTTGGTTTGTCTACCCATGGTTTCCTTCTCTTTAATACCTTTTATATAGACTATCAGGTTGGTTTTGATGATGAATAAAAAGTAGGTTTTGAGTATGATAGCACATACCTTTTTACATTGTTTAGGAAACATTGACATTAAAATGTTATATTTGTTTTGTATTGTTTGTATAGCAAACCTTCATTTAACGCCATTATGATGACTTAACAGTACTTATGTGTATAACATTCTTTTATTCAGGGTTACACAATGAAACACACACTAGAGAAGTGGGCCAACCTCGACTATGCCAGCCACTGGGTTGTTCTCGGGACTTATATATTCTATCTGATCATTTAGACCAACATCTGCTGAACACTAATGGGATGTAGTCTTAAGTAGGGAGATACTGTTGTTAGATTTACATGCATGTAAGCCTAGGCAATTTTTATATGCCAATCCACCGAGGGTTGTATTGTGGTATGTGTTGTCTATCTCTCCGTTCATTTGTCAGTGTGTCCATTAACTTTTTCTTTTTAGTGTTCTCTTACCTTTATTTACACACTGAGTTGAATTAAACTTGCTACTGATATTCCATACTTACATAGTTTGAACAAGTCATTGTTACAGAATATTATGGTTATTTTTTGCAGAGTTATAGCCCTTCTTTTCGGCAAATATTTGTATTATTTAGAAATAGTAAAACCTTTATTAATTTCCTGTTATTTTCATTGAACTTTGATATTGTGATGCAAGAAGCAATGGGATTTAATATATAGTAGGTTTTCTATGTGGTCTCATGTTTTCAGAGTAATGTTCCTTTCTTTCAGTTTTCTAGCCATCACTTTAAAACTCGGTATGCTTTGATTTATCATCAGAACATATAATGCTATTTTCCCTCTTGACATTTTGACGAGTTACTACCATTTCTATATTTATACTCATTTTGACATAATAAATTCTGAATTTGTCTTTGACGTGGGACAAGTGTATGTTGTTCTGTCCCACGATATTCTTGTTAAATGTGAACTTTATTTTTATACCTATTGTACTACATTGTGGTGTCTTTTAATGGTTTGTATATTTATGGATCTGAAACTCATAATTTATTATTGTTTTTGTAATGGTCAATGAAAGCTATGCAATAGTAAACAGGGACCTCACAGGGTAGGAAGACAAAGTCTTCATGGTAAGCTTATATGATGAGAGAACAAATTTGAGGGTGAGGTCTAAGCTTATATGATGAGAGAAAAAATTTGAGGGTGAGGTCTAAGCTTTTATGATGAGAGAACAAATTTGAGGGTGAGGTCTACGTTTTTATGATGAGAGAACAATTTTGAGGGTGAGGTCTAAGCTTTTATGATGAGCGAACGAATTTGAGGATGAGGTCTAAGCTTATATGATTAGGGAACAATTTTAAGGGTGAGGTCTAAGCTTATATGATGAGTGAACAATTTTGAGGGTGAGGTCTAAGCTTTTATGATGAGAGAACAAATTTGAGGGTGAGGTCTAAGCTTATATGATTAGGGAACAATTTTGAGGGTGAGGTCTAAGCTTATATGATGGGTGAACAATTTTGAGGGTGAGGTCTAAGCTTTTATGATTAGAGAACAAATTTGAGGGTGAGGTCTAAGCTTATATGATGAGAGAACAAATTTGAGGGTGAGGTCTACGTTTTTATGATGAGAGAACAATTTTGAGGGTGAGGTCTAAGCTTATATGATGAGTGAACAAATTTGAGGGTGAGGTCTAAGCTTTTATGATGAGTGAACAAATTTGAGGGTGAGGTCTAAGCTTTTATGATGAGAGAACAATTTTGAGGGTGAGGTCTAAGCTTTTATGATGAGCGAACAAATTTGAGGATGAGGTCTAAGCTTATATGATTAGGGAACAATTTTAAGGGTGAGGTCTAAGCTTATATGATGGGTGAACAATTTTAAGGGTGAGGTCTAAGCTTGTATGATGAGAGAACAAATTTGAGGGTGAGGTCTAAGCTTATATGATGAGTGAACAAATTTGAGGGTGAGGTCTAAGCTTTTATGATGAGTGAACAAATTTGAGGGTGAGGTCTAAGCTTTTATGATGAGAGAACAAATTTGAGGGTGAGGTCTAAGCTTTTATGATGAGAGAACAAATTTGAGGGTGAGGTCTAAGCTTATATGATGAGAGAACAATTTTGAGGGTGAGGTCTAAGCTTATATGATGAGTGAACAAATTTGAGGGTGAGGTCTAAGCTTTTATGATGAGTGAACAAATTTGAGGGTGAGGTCTAAGCTTTTATGAGGAGAGAACAATTTTGAGGGTGAGGTCTAAGCTTTTATGATGAGCGAACAAATTTGAGGATGAGGTCTAAGCTTATATGATGAGAGAACAATTTTGAGGGTGAGATCTAAGCTTTTATGATGAGAGAACAATTTTGAGGGTGAGGTCTAAGCTTTTATGATGAGCGAACAAATTTGAGGGTGAGGTCAAGCTTTTATGATGAGTGAACAATTTTGAGGGTGAGGTCTAAGCTTTTATGATGAGAGAACAAATTTGAGGGTGAGGTCTAAGCTTATATGATGAGAGAACAATTTTGAGGGTGAGGTCTAAGCTTATATGATGAGTGAACAAATTTGAGGGTGAGGTCTAAGCTTTTATGATGAGTGAACAAATTTGAGGGTGAGGTCTAAGCTTTTATGATGAGAGAACAATTTTGAGGGTGAGGTCTAAGCTTTTATGATGAGGTCTAAGCTTTTATGATGAGCGAACAAATTTGAGGATGAGGTCTAAGCTTATATGATGAGAGAACAATTTTGAGGGTGAGATCTAAGCTTTTATGACGAGAGAACAAATTTGAGGGTGAGGTCTAAGCTTATATGATGAGAGAACAAATTTGAGGGTGAGATCTAAGCTTTTATGACGAGAGAAGAAATTTGAGGGTGAGGTCTAAGCTTTTATGACGAGAGAACAAATTTGAGGGTGAGGTCTAAGCTTTTATGATGAGAGAACAATTTTGAGGGTGAGGTCTAAGCTTTTATGATGAGGGAACAATTTTGAGGGTGAGGTCTAAGCTTTTATGATATCTAAAACTTATAGAGTGCTAAAATTGGAGCAGGGAGAAAAGTCAATCAAAATCTCACCTTGTTATTATTTTTGCTATGAATATTGTAAATATTATGCATCATTTAAATGATTAATGTTTGTTAAAAATTTCTGTATAATTATGTATGTTAATTGCAATTTTAATTGGAAGTGCAATATACAGACATGTCTTGTAAAAATTATATTCTTATGAAGTATGTATGCATGTATATGATTAGTACCAGTTTGCTATGATCAATACTTTAATACACTGCAGCTATAAGAAGGAAAGTCTAGGTAATGTTGCCAACTTCCCTGTTATACAATGTTTAGTCTGGAGCATAGGGAACTGGAAGATGAAACGTTTCACAGTGGCTCTACCTGGGGGTACTTTGATGCAGGCACAAAAAAAATTGATATATTTTCATTTGATAACAAAATATTTTCATAAAAACATATATCAGTTGAATAATGGCAAGTTCATTAGAACAGCCATATTTTATAGGAAGGAGTAGGTGGAGCCACATGGGCCTCATTCACAACATGAACAGCAATAAAATAGCTCTAACAAATGATTGCATTGATGTTTTTATTATTTTTTACGAATACATACATATGTAACATTACATCCAGATGTTTTATATGTCTATTCACCATTAAACCATATTTGTAAAACATTAGGGATGAAGGCAAACATCACACTGTAAAAAACCGGTATAAGTACTGACTAAAGTCAGAGACGTATATATATCACATCTACATCTCTGCTAAAGTGTATACCCAGCACAAGCATAATCCCCATGAATATTAAAATATATAATCATGGAGGTTACCGAGCTTCATCTAGAGACGTAAATATCACATGTAAATATCCACAAGTATTGATCAAAGTCTGTACATAGGAATCCTTGAACGATATTTTTTAGCTCACCTGGCCCAAAGGACCAAATGACCTATGGGAGTACAGCGGTGTCCATCGTCTGTTCTCTGTCAACTTTTACTGTACAACTATTTATGCCCGACTTTGACCTACATCAGAGAAAAGCCTGTCAGGGTTTTATTTCCTCTCCTACACTTTTAGTCCCTGGATCTCCAAACTGAGGGTGTCGGTTCACCATTGAGTGGCAGTGTGTCCTGTTTTAAAGTTAGGTCACTTTGACCTATTTTATTTTATATTTGACCTACATCAAAGAAAGCATTTTGGTTGTAACTCCTACAAGTTACTACTTGTCGCTGGAACTTGGTAATTTAGATTTGAGTTTATCATAGTGAGGTGGTGGGTCATGTATTTAAACATTAGGTTGCTGACCTATATTTTGAGCTCTCACCAACATCAAAGTTCGTCTTGGCCCTATCACCTTCTCTCTACTAGACAATGAAGGTTTATGCTCTGGGCTAGGGGTTCAGCAGTGTGCGTGTCGGTTGTGGGGGTGGGGGTGGGGTGGGAGGGGGGCTATGATTCCCTAAATTGTTTTGTTTTTATAAATAATATCTAATATACCAAAATTGTTGCCTGCGTATGTGTTAAAAAAAACCGAGCTCTGTGTAACTATTCACATTTTAGTAACACTTTATTGCATATACTAACTCCAGCTGGCAAACAAGTTTCTTTTATCGACAATAATGATGATACCACTGGTCAGTTCTCTCTAATCAGCCAATCAACTCCTCGCCTGATGCTCTGAAATTAAACAACACAGTCGTCAGTTTTGTCATTTTGTGAGTTAGATTTATGTCCATTATAGGGAAGAACAGTATACATGTAAATCATGTCACATCTTTACAAGGGCTTTGGAATTACTATCAGTATTGTAGTCTGAGGCTGTCTGTTGGTACACTGTGATGTCCTCGTTTCTCTCAAAACTCCATTCGAGCATTATCACGACTTCATCATACAATTAACCAGTAAACGGCACGTTCTGTAGTTTAACCTTCTTTTCAGTTATTAGAAAATGCATATCACCATTATGAAATAATGGGTGACAAGACAAACTTTAGCCCCATTGTGAAAAGCATCGAATTCGAGTGTTAACCATTGAAAAAATTGAATATGTATATATACCTGTATGTTTTGTAAGGCGTCTACAAAAAGTCGGGCGTTCCGAAAATTTCAGTGGAGCATACAAGGTACTTACGAGCGTTCACAGATATAATGCAGTTCGGTCATACAATTCTGGTCATTCCAGTTTCCGCTGCTCCAAATCTCGACACATCCCTCGTTGTTATGGTAGTTGTCGGGCGATTTAGAGAAATGTTGTACTGACATTTGTTCTCGTGAAGTCGCCCAAACAAACAAACCTTCCTGAACTGAATCATGGGCCCCAATCCAGTAATCGTCTAAAACATAATTAATGAGAGTTAATGTTTTCGCATGTCCTGAATAATAATTATAAAAAAAGTATAAAGCAGAAAATGATTTCCATAAGCCAGTATTTTATCAGCTCTGTAAATGAGAAAATGATTAATATATGGCTACATGACGTTTAAAAACAATATTGTTTAAAGGAAAAAAGTTCACATAGAAACGAGGCATTTTAATTACACCATGAATATTATGAACATTATCGGTCGCTATCGTCTGTTGTCGAGCTTAAACTATCCGAACTAAGAGTGAAACGAAGGGAGATAACTCTGGGAGACCAGATGTATTACGATATATAAACCGAACGGGTCAGACATTCGAAAGATTACGAACACTAATATATTATTATAACTTACCAATTCGAACATAAAGTGACGCATGACTTCCAAAGTAAGTGCAATTTTTGATGAGGTGTCATTTGTAAGCTTGATACATTACCTCCTCATTACCATATACATAAGCTCATCACCTCCTCATTATCATATACATAAACTCATTACCATATACATAAACTTATAACCTCCTCATTACCATATACATAAACTCATTAACATATACATAAACTCATTACCTCCTCATTACCATATACATAAACTCATTACCATATACATAAACTCATTACCATATACATAAATTCATTACCTCCTCATGACCATATACATTAACTCATTACCATATACATAAACTCATTACCTCCTCATTACCATATACATAAATTCATTACCATATACATACACTCATTACCTCCTCTTTACCATATACATAAATTCATTCAAGTACATAGAGTACCTATAGAAGTAACCGTGAGTTCTGACATCAATTCTTTATCAAATCAGAGCAGAAAACAGTAGAATTTGGATCGTATCAGCCTATTGAAAATAGTACTACAAATGATTTTATCAGTTTATGGTCACTGATTTCTCAATTTGTTGTATATTTGACATGTTTGCATAGTTATGACACTTTCTTATTTTTTTATATCAAACTCAGAACAAAGATGGCGGCTATGAATTGTTTTCAATATTCGACCATTTCAATCTGATATAAACGTAAGGGAAAAGTGAGCTGTGAGTTCCTTTTTATTGGGTCATTTGTCTTTCCTATCTGGCAGTAGAAACATAAGTTAGACTATATCTAAAAGTCTGGCTAGTTAGCAGAGCCAAATCATTGAATGTCGTGGAAACCAAACAGTCAATGGGGCTTGTTATTGATATTTTGACCCAAGTTCATTTTGTAGAAACTATCATAGCAGACATGTATATAAAATCCTGTGTCAAGCAAGCTGGTTTTATGCTTGATCGTCCTGCGAACAACCAGGGTCAGTTTGAGGTGGGGTCTCTTGTAGTAGCCGGTGGTGACTTCACTGAACAACACATGGAAGCGGCGTCGCGTTCTGGTTAGAGCAATTACATCGTGTCCAATCGCCCAGGGTTCTCCACAGGGGTGTACAAATCGAAGAGTGTAAAGACGAGACCAGATAGGAAACGGACTTTGTGTCGTGCCGAATAGGACAAGTTTGTATTTTTCTTATCGCGCACGGACCGCAGTGATAGCTGGGGTATTTTAAGCCCCATAATTGAGGTTGAATTCTGTATGGTTAATCCAGAGTGCTCGACAAAGATTGGCCAGTCAGAACAAATTTTCATATTCCACTTTTAAAACTCGCTTTTCTCACTTTTCCAAGAAATGCATCGTTACAATCCAATGTTGGATATGACTTGCATGTAGAACACACCTAATCATGAATTTTGAGTCCTTCGTCTGTAGAATATCAGAACAATGATTATTCATCTTCGTTATTTCATGTGGACAGAGGGGTTTCTAAAAGTGTAAATCAAGGAGGGGGAGTGTCTAAACACAATCAACATTTTACATTTTCTGGCTAATATTGCCAATTGAAGTTTTTTTTTTATATTGTAGATAACTTCGTTGTAGCCAATAAAATTCGGACTTCATGTATAGGAAGGATGAAGACCTTATCCGAGTTCTCCAAATTGGATTACTATTTTTAACAAGACGAAATAAAGGACCCATAAGATTAGTAAGTTCTTTAGAAAATTTATCAACTTTATTATTTATCGCCTGTTGACTAAAGTCACCGTCCATATTTATAACGTTCTCCCCTCTACCTCTAGCCCCTACCTTCTACCCTCTATCCCCGACAGCTTCAAGTTAGAAACACCAACCGCCACGGGCAGGAAACGATACCAAGCTATCGAGACTCCCGTATAGCACAGGTAAAAAGTAATCTCATTGTCATTTTTAAACCTAGGAGAAACTGCATTATGACAACATTTAACATTGCAATGGAACTAAACGTCTACCGTTCATCTGATGGACTGTGGTATCGAGGAATGTTTTCTCTGCTTCGGTCTGTACTTCGGCCAGATATCCTCCAAGTAATTTACACATCACCTGTAAAGAGTGGTTACAGAAATAATCAATTAATTCAGAATCTTGGTTTAGCATGTATATACACTTCGGTTATTTCAAAGTCGTTCAAGTAAAAGGCATGACACGACACGAAGGGAAAACAAGAAAGAAATTTACAATCCAAAGTATATTTCATATCTCGAACCACCTCCCCTCGAAAATTAAAGTTAATAATAATGATAATATAATAAACATATTCCATTTAAACATGTCCGCATGGTGCACATTGATTTTGATGCTTTGACTCACAATAGCACCGGTCCAGGACAGTTTGTCGTGACTGAATAAATAACATTGTTGGTTTTTTATCCAACCATCTGGGCAATCCGCAGACACCGATACTGAAAACAAAATACATTATCATTATTGTATACTTGCTTCAAGTGTTTCTTTTCTCAGATTTCGAATGTTTATGGTTTCCATCGTATTTTCAGGTGAGACTTGGATGTCCTCAACTCTCTGAAGAGAGAGAGAGAGAGAAATGAAGGGCGCTTGTGTAAAATTAAGTCGCACACTGCTGTAACTATTGTGAATATGCCCAACCCATACAATATATTTCAAAATATGCAAATGAAAGACATTTTCACCAAACATAAAACGGATATATTCTTTATTTAAGCGTTTTTAACAGGATATGGCATTTTGGTGGTTGCCAAAAAGGAGTCCTTCTCTGAATTGTAGTGAAATTGTTATTGTCAGGAGAAGAGTAGTTCGAAGAAAACTTGTTGGGTTTTTAACCTGGTCAACAATGCTGGGAATGAAACATCTGGGCTCTGATTAGGTATAAACTGTATATAGTTTTGATAACGATATTATGATACTTAAAGTGAACGGAAAAGGAGAACAAATATTGAATGTATACATTACCGTTGGAATGAGCAACTGTTAGCACAAGAAATAGCACGAGGTAGCACGATAATCCAGACATCATTACACACACGTAACTGATCAGAAGTCTGTTGCCCGACACACGTCACATTAGCATGTGACATACATGTACTAAATGATATCGCAACCTTTGACCTGCAATAGGTAGATCTTCGTATATTTGAAAAATTCAATATTTGAGCAATGATGTTCGAATATAAGCCGGTTTCTGTTTTTTTTTTCAACTTAGCGAAAATGTTCACCAACCGTTTTAATTCTACATACAAAAAAAGTGTATATCAAATCATTAAGTAAAATTTTGATAATTTTGATAATACATAAGTCCACTTTTCTTATTTCAGATATTTGCATATTATTAAGTAATTTTTCTTTGCTTCTGTCCTGAAATGAATTCATTAAAGTCAGCTGTATAAACCTTTAAATCATATTAAGACGTATTCTTACTAGATTCGTTTATCTGGTATAAAATTTGGCGCGTAACATGTTAATTACTAGCGACGTCATCAATACTGACGTTAATATTATGACGTCATCGCGTATTGTTTAGGCCGGGTGTCAGTTCGAAAGCAGCCGCTCGCAACTGCCTTGTCAGGTGAACTGCTCGTGTGTGGTAAGTGTTAAATTGACATCACGCAAGTCTTCGAAAAACGCTATAGACGTGAGCGAACTGTCCAGTCAGTGAATATAAGAATTCATTTCCATGTTTCCTCCTTTATTTCATCTAGTCTTTTTATAGAGAGTAACTATGACTTTTACCGATAACATTTTCAGCAATTATTCTGATATATTTTTCTTTTGTACATCGGGTTTTTTTTTTTTTTATCGAGAATTGCTTCCGTTATCTCGAAAAGTATTCCATAAAAATATGATTTGTATAGAAATAATAATTGTGGAAGAGAGTTTGATTGAAGTTTTGATTTGTTCATGTCCCTAGTTACGTGTTTGCTGTAAGCATGTCTCTATGAGTGATACGTTGTGTTTGGCTTGTTTTTACAGTTTTGCATTTCACTGTGCATTGTAAGACCATTTGTTACGTTTGGTGTTATGTGTGTACTGTTGTTAATTTATTATACATATGTATATCATATGTGTATATTTATTCAAAACTATATTTGGGACGACAAAAACCGTCCTGAAACAAGTCTTTAGGTCAATATTAATCCGAATCTTTTGCTTGGATTTCATTCTCATGCCGTTTTGTGTATTTAGTATTCTGTGTTGAGTTCAAGTCGTTTTTGTTTGTCGTCAGTACTATGTGCCGTTGTTTGTATTTGTATTAAGCGTTATATGTAGTGTATCTGTTAAAGTTGTTTGTATTTGTCGTCAGTATCCGGCGTTGTGTGTGCCGTTGTTTGTATTTGTATTATGCGTTCTGTGTAGTGTGTTCTGTTTAAGTTGTTTGTATTTGTCGTCAGTATTCGGCGTTTTGTGTGCCGTTGTTTGTATTTGTATTACGCGTTCTGTGTAGTGGTTTCTGTTAAAGTTGTTTGTATTTGTCGTCAGTATTCGGTGTTGTGTGTGCCGTTGTTTGTATTTGTATTATGCGTTCTGTGTAGTGTGTTCTGTTTAAGTTGTTTGTATTTGTCGTCAGTATTCGGCGTTTTGTGTGCCGTTGTTTGTATTTGTATTACGCGTTCTGTGTAGTGGTTTCTGTTAAAGTTGTTTGTATTTGTCGTCAGTATTCGGTGTTGTGTGTGCCGTTGTTTGTATTTGTATTATGCGTTCTGTGTAGTGTGTTCTGTTAAAGTTGTTTGTATTTGTCGTCAGTATTCGGCGTTTTTTTTGTGCCGTTGTTTGTATTTGTATTAAGCGTTATTTATGTGTAGTGTATCAGTTAAAGTTGTTTGTATTTGTCGTCAGCATTCGATGTCGTGTGTGCTGTTGTTTGTATTTGTATTACGCTTTATGTGTAGTGTGTTCTGTTAAAGTTGTTTGTATTTGTCGTCAGTATTCGGCGTTTTGTGTGCCGTTGTTTGTATTTGTATTAGGCGTTCTGTGTAGTGTTTTCTGTTAAAGTTGTTTGTATTTGTCGCCGTATTCGGCGTCGTGTGTGCTGTTGTTTGTATTTGTATTACGCGTTCTGTGTAGTGTGTTCTGCCCGTTTACAACATTGTCTATAATGCGAACTGGCATTCACTTGTCTCTTTAAGGAACATCAGCATTTCTTCTACAAGTGTAGCTCAACGTTTATTAAAAAATGTATAAGTGCCGAGACAAATATATGTTATATATAACAACAAAAAAACATAGGGAGACGTTGGGCGATGCATACTCTACGACATATCACATACATCTAAAACACTTTTGTAGGTTCCAATGGCGGCCCAGGAGCTGGACGATATCTTTCCTCGGGATCCCAAGAAATTGAACCCTCATACCTTGGTAAGTGTTAGTTTTCTCGTTTCACAATTACATTGGTAGTCTGCCACTATCTGACAACATGGACTTCCACTGGTTCTCTCTCAAACTGAGATCAACTGTACATCTGAACTCTTGTGACATTTCATAATTTGCACTTTTAAGAATGATTCTTGTACACGACATTTACAACACTGCATGCATGTCAAAAAGTGTACTCGGAACAACACCATTTTTACTTTTGGATGACATACTGTATCTAAATAATTGATAAGCTATATATGGGATAAATGAATCGTTTGATATGTAAATGTGTATCCTATCTATAATCTAAATGATTGACAGGTTATAATTATTTATCTACATCCAGATCGATTTCGATGATCTGATAGGCGAACCGCCCAGTCTTCTATCTCTGGACGGAGTGTGGGACAAGTCGGCCCGCTCCTTCAACTTCAGCAAGGATCTGTGCTACCTCATCCTCACAACACTATGTGGTATCCCGATCTCCGTCCTGTGTGGACTGAAGTTCGCCTTCCTCAGCTTTGGTACGATTTGGTGTGTGACGCCATGCGTAAAGGCGTACCACGTGTGTATGATGTCGACCCGTGGAATCTACTCCACCCTTATCAAATGTGTGTGTGACCCTCTCTGGGAGTCCTTCGGCAACCTCTTCAGCAACATCCGCGTCAGCAAGGCTGACCTGTAAACTGATTAATACTGAAACCCCTACAGATATCTGTAGTGATGAAATAGAATGATCATTTATATAATGTATTAAAATCTAGAACATCTCATTTGTGTTTTTGTAAATATAAGCCACTCCCTTATGTACCTTTCTTACGATTTCAGCAATCAAGATACAATAAATTTTATTTTCTTTCGGATACAATAAAACATGTAACATTAGCTCAGAAGAGTTATTATTATGACAGATATAAAAAATATAACACAAAGAACAATATCACAGAAGGAATAGTGAAATAACAGAACATGCATAATGTATCAGGCAGGGCATCAAGATAGAAATGTGTTTATAACACAACATAAATATAGCTCAATAAAATTACTAAATTATAATCACATGAAAACTAATTCAGTCAGACATTAGTTTTGGTAAAAGTTACATATGGAGCCATCCCAGGATCAGCCTCCGGAATTCTGGAAAATGTTCACGTCTCTGCTATTCATTTGGGAGGCTGTTCTACACCCGGGCAGCCTCACAAGAGAATGATTTCTGACCACACCCTGCAGATTTCACGCATGTAATGATGACTGTAGTCTCTCCTGAAATCATCAGCAGATTAAAAATAATCACTTTGTCTTGTATGTACTTAGTGGACAGCTTGCATTTTAAAAACTTCACAGCCCATATCTTTAAGCCTCTTGGCATGTAAAAGAGTAGTATTTGTTGTTTTTAAAAGATGGATAAAAGATCAGATAAAACCACTCTCAACAAATCGCAATGCACGCTCCTGGATCAGCAATCCAGAAAAAAAGTTATGCTAACAAAGTCGATGAAAATTAACCACTTAAAAGTACTTTAAGGCTGGTTTGTTTTAACGTGACTTGACATTGGATCCTTGCTATTCTAAACTGAAGTGTTAGTAAGTAGCTTTTAATATGTAGCATTTTTATCTACCTGTGTCTTATTGCTTATCGTCTCTATTTAAAAACTGAATAAAATGGGAAGGATGCCATCCGACAATACGGATGTTTTAATTAAAGAGATTGTATTCTAAAAAACGAAGAGAAAATACTTGAGATTATATCGGTTATTTCTATAAACGGCATTGATGTATAATGTGCTCCTGGTAAAATGCATTGATGGACAAGGCATTCCTTGCTGCGTGCTGTTTAAAGTAACGTGCGCTGCTGACAAATAACCAACATATTCAAACACTCAGTAGAATTTTTTTACAATATTCATCAAAAAGTGTTCTAATTTGGGTAGCATCGAGTTATTTACATGTAAAGTCAGGACAACCTACTTGTGAACACTGTAAACTTTTAGTGTTACGGTCATCAATATATGGTGTTTTTAACGTTTTTCACTCCTATTTTGGTGTAAAATTTATGGTTACACCATTTCTGATGTAAAGTTAATCACAACAAAGAAAAGTGTATAATGTACCGACATTTGGTGTTACTTCAGTCCTAAATCGGTGTAAAAGTGTTACCTTACACCGTAAGAGAGTGACTTTACACCAGATTCTCACCTAAAAGTGTTACTTCACACCGTAAGGGGTGACTTTACACCAGATTCTCACCTAAAAGTGTTACTTCACACCATAAGAGAGTGACTTTACACCAGATTCTCACCTAAAAGTGTTAATTTACACCGTAAGGGGTGACTTTACACCAGTTTCTCACCTAATAGTGTTATTTTACACCGTAAGAGAGTGACTTTACACCAGATTCTCACCTAATAGTGTTACTTTACACCGTAAGAGAGTGACTTTACACCAGATTCTCACCTAAAAGTGTTATTTTACACCGTAAGAGAGTGACTTTACACCATATTCTCACCTAATAGTGTTACTTTACACCGTAAGAGAGTGACTTTACACCAGAATCTCGCCTAAAAGTGTCACCTTACACCGTAAGAGAGTGACTTTACACCAGATTCTCACCTAAAAGTGTTACTTTACATCGTAAGGGGTGACTTTACACCAGATTCCCACCTAAAAGTGTTATTTTACACCGTAAGGGGTGACTTTACACCAGAATCTCACCTAAAAGTGTTACTTTACACCGTAAGGGGTGACTTTACACCAGAATCTCACCTAAAAGTGTTATTTTACACCGTAAGGGGTGACTTTACACCAGAATCTCACCTAATAGTGTTACTTTACACCGTAAGAGAGTGACTTTACACCAGAATCTCGCCTAAAAGTGTCACCTTACACCGTAAGAGAGTGACTTTACACCAGATTCTCACCTAAAAGTGTTACTTTACACCGTAAGGGGTGACTTTACACCAGAATCTCACCTAAAAGTGTTATTTTACACCGTAAGGGGTGACTTTACACCAGAATCTCACCTAATAGTGTTACTTTACACCGTAAGAGAGTGACTTTACACCAGATTCTCACCTAATAGTGTTACTTTACACCGTAAGAGAGTGATTTTACACCAGAATCTCACCTAAAAGTGTCACCTTACACCGTGTGGAGCGACGTTACACCAAATTTTCACTTAAAAGTGTTACCTACCACCGTAAGGAGTGATTACTTAACACCATATTCAATGAAAGCGTAAGCAGAGATGTCTCTGGTGTAACTTTACACCGTGAGAGATACTCGGACACAAAATCACATCTTCATTTAAATATGTTAGTTATACCCACACCAAGAGCAAACTGCAGTTAACTTTTAATGTAGGCCTATTTCCGTCGGACAACGTTGTGGCCCTCCGTATTGCAAGATAAAATATTGGGTAGCGTTCCTTTTTGGGTACAGTATACGTAGCCTCACGTTAAATCCCATTTGATTATGTGTTAAACCCGGGTTCATGAAATTTGAACATGCCTAATGGTTTGTTATCGAATATAATGGACAATTACAATAAAATGCAAAATCTGTATTTGAAATAGTCACCATCATCAGTTAAGCCATATGCTTTCAGTACATAGATGCATGTTTGAACGAATCGTTCTAACCGCTTAATGAACAGGGCTTTGACTTTGAGATTCCCTCAAGTCGAGATTTTCCTCAGCTGATATCTCCTCAAAAACGGCTTGTATAAAATTTTCTCAAGGAACAGGAGGAAGTCATCGGCTAGGATGTCCTGAAATTCCTTGAGGAATTTTCATACAAGATATTTTCAAGGAGATATTAGCTGAGAAATATCTGGGCTTGAGGAAATCTTAAATTGAGATATTTTATACAAGTGGGACCTGGTTTGATAGATAACATCTGTAATTTTATTTTATTTTCTTTGCTAACTAGTCTACGACAGTTTTCAACAAAAAATGTAAAAATAATCATAAAAAGGTGAAAGATATTAGATAAGTTACTGTCCAATGCGATGATCAACTTTCTTGATTTGTAGGCCAGGGCGATTTCAGGTTGTTTTTTAAAAGGAGAGTATTTTGGGGCAAAAATTGTATTTAGCTCCTCTTTTTAACGTAAAAAACTGTCTTAAGTTCACATCACAAAATTATAAAATATAGAATTTCCATACTTTTGTCAAAATTTTAATTTTTAGGTTGTTTATGCAGTTGAGCAGTTAAAATCAAATATAAATCCAGCCTTTTTGACTCTGCTGTTGTTCTTTTATCTGAGGAATAATTCAGTATGAAGAAAATTATTCTATTGAAAAAAAATGCGTCAAAATAACGAGTCATTGACAATGAATATAGGAAAAAATGCATCGACATCGTCCATGATTATTTTAATAAAGATTTAAGAAATCATTATTAGAACAAAACATAAAAAGCCCACCTCTTTGAAGTTTAGTACGCCTTGCACATGCACTAAATTGTTTGCCCATCCTCAAAAAGAATAAGTTACTTATATGGGACTGGTCTTTTACAACTTGGAATTTTCAAGTGATGGTACATATACTGAGGGCATCTTGGCGTTAGGGCCGTGTTCGATTTGCCCTTAGGTCTCTCAGCTGTATGAAATCTTTAACTGACATTCTTTTATTGATTTCCACGGACTGATTTTTGACTAACAATGGATAAATGTTTGCCTGGTCTAGAGCTTTTGCTATCGGTCCAGAGCTGTTGCGATCGGTCTAGAACTATTGCTATCGGTCTAGAGCTGTTGCTATCTTTCCAGAGCTGTTGCTATCGGTCCAGAGCTGTTGCTAACGATCTAGAACTATTGCTATCGGTCTAGAGCTGTTGCTATCTTTCCAGAGCTGTTGCTATCGGTCCAGAGCTGTTGCTAACGATCTAGAACTATTGTTATCGGTCTGGAGCTGTTGCTATCGGTCCAGAGCTGTTGCTATCGGTCTAGAACTGTTGCTATGGGTCCAGAGCTGTTGCTATCTTTCCAGAACTGTTGCTAACGATCTAGAACTATTGCTATCGGTCTAGAGCTGTTGCTATCTTTCCAGAGCTGTTGCTATCGGTCCAGAGCTGTTGCTATCGGTCTAGAACTGTTGCTATCGGTCTAGAGCTGTTGCTATCGGTCTAGAACTGTTGCTATGGGTCCAGAGCTGTTGCTATCGGTCTAGAGCTGTTGCTATCTTTCCAGAGCTGTTGCTATCGGTCCAGAGCTGTTGCTAACGATCTAGAACTATTGCTATCGGTCTAGAGCTGTTGCTATCTTTCCAGAGCTGTTGCTATCGGTCCAGAGCTGTTGCTATCGGTCTAGAACTGTTGCTATGGGTCCAGAGCTGTTGCTATCGGTCTAAAACTGTTGCTATGGGTCCAGAGCTGTTGCTATCGGTCCAGAGCTGTTGCTATCAGTCCAGAGCTGTTGCTATCGGTCTAGAACTGTTGCTATGTGTCCAGAGTTTTTGCAATCGGTCTTGATTTGTTGCGATCGGTCCAGAGCTGTTGATATCGGTCTAGATTTGTTGCTATCGGTCCGGAGTTGTTGCTATCGGCCCGGAGCTGTTGCGATCGGTCCAGAGCTGTTGCTATTAGTCCAGAGCTGTTGCTATCGGTCTAGAACTGTTGCTATGTGTCCAGAGTTTTTGCAATCGGTCTTGATTTGTTGCGATCGGTCCAGAGCTGTTGATATCGGTCTAGATTTGTTGCTATTGCTCCAGAGCTGTTGTTATCGGTCCGGAGCTGTTTCTATCGGTCTAGAGCTATTGTTATCGGTCTAGAACTTTTGTTATCGGTCCAGAGCTGTTGCTATCGATCCAGTGTTGTTCCTATCGGTCTAGATTTGTTGCTATCGGTTCAGAGCTGTTGGTATCGGTCTAGAACTGTTGCTATCGCTCCAGAGTTGTTGCTATCGGTCCGGAGCTGTTTCTATCGGTCTAGATCTGATTCTATCGGTCCGGAGCTGTTGCTAACGGTCCAGAACTGTTGCTATTGCTCCAGAGCGGTTGCTATTGGTCCGGAGCTGTTTCTATCGGTCCTGAGCTGTTGCTATCGGTCCGGAGCTGTTACTATCGGTCTACAGCTGTTACTATCGGTCTGGAGCTGTTGCTATCGGTCTGGAGCATTTGCTATCGGTCCTGAGCTGTTACTATCGGTCCTTAGCTGTTGCTATATTGGCATCCTCCTCTTGAATTAACACCAGGGCACCATCAATATCCATGATATAGTAACTTTTGATACACAAAGTGTCCGATAGCTCCTATGGAGTCTTGAACACTTTCAGGAATGTCCAAATAAAATAGAAGCAAATCAAAGTAAGATGTCTCTTTTTTTTCTTTAAAGATATTTTCTCATTGAAATATCCCCAAAGAAAACCACCCATACAAAAATGGCTGACCAGGTGAAAAGTGTTAGCGTTATCTGCATGTGAGAGGGAAATTATCAAACGATGCGTGATCTCCTTTCCAAAATTTTATTCTTCATCACTTTTTCTCCCCCTTCTATATATGAAGAGTTTTAACCTCAACCAAACAGTAATTTAATACCAATCAATTCGAGTTGCCTCCCTTCCCCCAACCGATTCGTATATAAACACAACAAAAGGGGAAGTAGATATATACTTGTGAAGTAACAGGATCACATATCTACACTTGTATCTCGTCACTTTTCAAGAAGGCGGCATGTATACAAACGAGTAGATCTGTTTAAAAAAAAAAAAAAAATGCGTGATGTGTTCGTGATCTACTTGCGTTCATATCGTTTTGTACTATACAAACACATACACGTGCAGGGACGTGTGTATTGTACAGCCTCTGCGTCTATCACATGTGCATGATTCATGTGAGGGTACAAACCCAATCGTCACTTGAAGTTATTGTTTCATTGTGACACAATTGTGCCAGGGTGTAGTTTGGATGAGCAACAGTTTATTGGAACAAAATGAACAAGCAGTGGGCGTAGAATCAAACAATTGTGAGCTGGATCACAGGGTTTTTTGGAATCGTCACACATATACAGTCGGGGAAAATCGATATTGACACAGAATCCTAGACATGATTTTATTCTGAAAATGGAATTTTAAATAGTATGACTGCTTGTACACAAACAATATGTGTGTCGTGAACCGTCCGTCTGTCTGGTGACGAGACAACCCGGGTGGAAACAGATGATGACTAAGAAACCGTCCAATCTTCGTCCATGACAACAGAGTAAGTGTGCCGGATGCGGAAGATACAATTACGGCTGGGTATAATCGTCCTCATAGTTCTACCAGCCTATACAGCTGTACAGAGGGACGAGGACATTTATTCTCGGATTTGTAAGTGTTTTTACATATATATAACCTTTGTAACAAGCGTTGTTTTGTCTTCTAGTCCATATATAAAGGTTCTCTCGCTCTAGCGTTCGTGTAATGCGTGTCCATCCGTCCGTATATAAATGTTCTCTCGCTCTAGCGTCCGTGTAATGTGTGTCCATCCGTCCGTATATAAATGTTCTCTCGCTCTAGCGTCGGTGTAATCCGTGTATATCCGTCCGTATATAAAGGTTCTCTCGCTCTAGCGTTCGTGTAATGTGTGTCCATCCGTCCGTATATAAATGTTCTCTCGCTCTAGCGTCGGTGTAATCCGTGTCTATCCGTCCGTATATAAATGTTCTCTCGCTCTAGCGTCGGTGTAATCCGTGTATATCCGTCCGTATATAAAGGTTCTCTCGCTCTAGCGTTCGTGTAATGTGTGTCCATCCGTCCGTATATAAATGTTCTCTCGCTCTAGCGTCGGTGTAATCCGTGTCTATCCGTCCGTATATAAATGTTCTCTCGCTCTAGCGTCGGTGTAATGTGTGTCCATCCGTCCGTATATAAATATTCTCTCGCTCTAGCGTCGGTGTAATCCGTGTCTACCCGTCCGTATTTAAATGTTCTCTCGCTCTAGCGTCGGTGTAATGTGTGTCCATCCGTCCGTATACAAATATTCTCTCGCTCTAGCGTCAGTGTGATTCGTGTCTACCCGTCCGTATTTAAATGTTCTCTTGCTCTGGCGTCAGAGTAATGTGTGTCCATCCGTCGGTTTATAAATGTTTTGCTCTGCAATCTGTGTAACGTGCTTTACGGGACACACAAATATTATGATAAATTCAATTATTGTTTGTTTGTTTGTTTGTTACAGAATATATGGACAAGTCTTGTAGTAGATAAGACATAAGCTGAGCGTCAGAAGTAGAACTGCTAACCGTGCCTAATTCACACATGGTCAGAACCAGTATTGTTACAGGACTCAGAAAATCTCTCTTATGTTTTCTAACGAAATACATTAAACCTGTAACTTGCGAATCCCTGCCCGAAAGGTTATCATCGCAAATGACAATCTAACCTAAAAAATAAACAGGGAACGTCTATGGTGCGAGGTTATCGGCTCAAATTGATAACCTAGACTAGAAATAATAGTTTTTAAGTTGTAACAGATATGTACGATAATTGTATACCTTTAGGTTCGCAGATTGTCAGAACCCGTACTCTTGATTTAAGTCTTACCCGTACAAAACTTTACCTCTATTTGTCAGTATTATTAAACATGCTATACAATATTAATGATGTAGTTTATGTTTGTCTATTTCCAGTTTCCGAACCCTGCACAAACCGATTCCATCCTACATCTCGACACCAGAAACCTTTTCTTATCGACATTGCTCCGGGAAATAATGGCTTCCAAACCTCACAGCTTTGTTACATGGCATTTACCGCCGATCCTGTCCCGGATGAAAATGTGGATAACGTGCTCGTGTGTTTCAAATTTCTGCAATTTACATTTCACAATTGCAGCATTGGCCTAAACGTACAAGGCAGTTACAAGGAAATAGTAAGTGTTTAACGTTTTCTTTCAGTATCTGCAACGAAAATCCCTTACATAAACAACTGCCTAGTAAAATGCATGTACATTTTTGTATATTCAATGCTAGAATAAAAAGAAAATGATCTTTATCATAATGCTGATGATGTTGCTCCGTTTAAGGAAATAAAATTAATGTTTATAATGAAAATGAATAATAATCATCATTTTTTGTATTTTAAGCGTTATTACAAACCGCAACCTCCTGCAACGTCCGCAATATGCTTCAAGCAAACAACCGTGTACGTAAATATAGGGAGCTCGGATTATTTGTATTGTGACCCCTCCACAAGAATCCGGATAGAAGTGACAGCTAGAAATGGTACGGCTATCAACGACGGTAATGTTAACATTAAACGCTTTGGCCTCTCATTTACTCAATATGACGTCATTTCAGCGCCATATGGATCTATGTTACGTTAACGCTTTGCACTTCACCTTAAATCACTTTGATGATTATGATTTCCAGGAAGCTCGTCCAGTAAAGAAGACAGATTGCTTCCATTATCAAATGTTGGGCTGTTTAAGTCGCCTTGGGTCCGTGGTCCGTCTGTCACCTCTTATTAAATAATTGCATTGTTATCGCTATTTCTTGAGAAATACCAGACGGATTTTTTTCACGTTAAATTTGTAGGCTTCGCTTAGACCTTGTTGGAGCCGTTTTGTTATTGGGACGGTCGAAGAAAATAAAATAGCTAAAATAGCTCGAATTTTGAGTATGGAAGCTTGTTATCACCATTTCCTCAAAAGTATGTGATGAATCTTTCTAAATTGAATATGTAGTCCCCCTCCCTTCCCTAGTTGTCGCCCTTTTGATTCTGAGACTGATCAGAAGAAAACCAAAATGACTGACAGGTGGTCATCTTGGTTTTTACTATGAAATAATGTATTTCTTGAAATATCTGTCACCCTGGTTGTATTTATACTCATGATATCAGTTTATAAGATGGCCGCTGTCTTTGTGATAGTGTTTTCGAGTTACACGCATGTATAGTGTTTTAATACCATGTAAGTGACGGTCCGGAAGTTTGTAAATGGTACAGAAATACGTTTCCGTCTCTTATCATGGATGTATTGGATTTTTTATTTGCAAATAATGTTGTCCTTGTATGTAATGGGAAGTATTAGTTATATTTATAGGAACTGAGCAGTGTATCAGTTACGAGGCAGAACTTAACCACACGTGACGCGCTCGAGAAGTAGTCCAGCCCCTCTCGTAAGATAACTGACATATCGCGAGGCCTATGATATAACTTACCTGTCATATGATGTGTCACGTGACAATTGCCGAACAGTCGATATTGTCCCGAACTGGTTACAGGTGAAACACTTTTTTGGCCTTATTAGAAATATCAGCAAATGGAACCATGCCATTTTCTGTAGGCATATTAATATGTAGGCAGGTTAATATTCACATTAGCAGGCTTAATATTAAAACTATAATTTCCACTTTTAGCGCTCTCAATTTTGTCTTCTTTATTTTCGGAGTGTCCTGTATTTTGCACACTTCCGACAACTGTGCAGCACACTGTCTCGTGTTAGCGCGAACTACAGTTGTCCTGTGACCAGTCCGGGTCATGATCAATTGTTAGTCAAGGTCATAAAGGTCGTTAAAGTCATTGTATGCCAAATCTGACTTGAGTTTAAGACGAAGTCCGACATGTTGTGAAGTTTTTTGATGATGATCGACTTTTCTCGTATGATTGTCACGTGACTTTATGCGACAAGTCAGTTACATCATAGTCCTCGCTACATATATAATATAATATAAATATAAACTTATATATTTTACAACAATTGCGAAACAACTTATACCACGGACTTATATACACATATATGTATATAAGTCCGTGCTTATACTAACACTCTTGTTGGCCCGGATGTAAGCGCGCGAGGGGCCTTATTGTGGGAGGAAACCGGAGCACCCGGGGAAAACCCACGTGGTCGGCCAGGTGACCCCCTTACCTTTTCACGTCCGTTCCGGGAATCGAAACCCGGTCGGCTCTCTACATGTCAATAACAACACTCTAAGGGCGGAGTTTACTTCTCTCGCGCTACGTGCTCGTGAAATAGCCCCGGCCCTAACCTTTTGTTCGGTTCCTGTGTTTTATGATACTGTTTGTCTACGTTCATTGTTCTAACTGAGTTCCATTTAATCATCTCCCACAGCGTATCCTCCTGACGACCGTATCATGTCAACCGGAAATTGGATTACAGTTACCTTGCTAATTGCAGTTTCCGTGATCGGTTTACTTTCTCTGGGATACTACAAATATCGGTACAAAGTCAGACATGTTCGTTCAGACCGAACAACTAGTCCAGATTCCCGCGCTCCCAGGCGGGACCGTTGTAGTCATGGTCGACGACCTTCACCGTCTGCACTATCGACTATGAACAATGACCAAAGGATGCCAACTGTTACAAACGGGAGTCACCGACGAACAAATCGTAACCGAAATCAGAGAGGGACTTCATACACACAGACTGGTACCAATCAAGGTAAATATCCACATATGTGAGTTCTGAAACATTTACATTACTCAGTGTATTTCGAGTCACAAAACACGCGATGTGAGTCATTCGTGAATACTATATACGAAATACACGTACATATATGTAGTAAAATCCAAAATCAAACGAAAGTAAATTTTTCATTTGAAAGAGTAGCAAAGTAGGATCGTAAAACAGAAGAAACGTAAGAGATGAAATGTCCCGTAATTTGTATTCTTTTAAGTTGCAATTAACTATCGATTACTTTCTACTGAAGCAGCACCACCTGTGTCACCTGACCACATGAGGGCGCCACCACCTTCGTACGAAGAGTGTATTGCAACATCGGGTACGGAGCGCCAAGATTCCGGACAAGAAGTTGTCAATGATGCAAATGTCCAATATTTGCTTACACAAAATAAAGATTTCACAGACGATTCACCACCTCCCTACCCCGGAGTGTAGCATTGGTTCCTATAATCATCATTCGTGGTTGCGTTTTAACTGCGATGATGCCAGCACATTATGTTGGTCATTATTCACATGTCGGTTAAATCAATATCAAGTCAACGTTTTGAACAAACGGAAGACCATAATCATGGACTTCAATCTATCGAAATCTGTGTCCTAGTCAACATTTGGAACGAAAACAAGACCTTAATCAGCGTGACTTACAATATAGTTCTATCGCTGTCTGTATCCGATACAGATAAAGTAAACGTTTCAAACGAACAAAGACCCTAGTCAAGCACTTACTTGCTAGAGATGAAGGTAAGAAAAAGACCCTTCAGTCATTGTTTCCAAAAAAAAAATTCTATGAAAGTCAGTAACACTTCCGTTGTTTTATAAGAGAAGGTTAGAAACGACACAGTGCTTTCAAGGTTAACATTAAACGTGTCTGACCATACATCAGCGATGTGACAAAATCTTGCCTGGTCCTATTGTTTGAAAAGATAATTTCAGTGATACCAACCTTGTAAACCGAGAAGCGAGGACGCTTTACACTGAAGTGTTTGGCTCGTCTATGGATCAACCGATGATGTCTCCTCCTGGACATGAATAGGTTTTCTAGACAACAAATTGCGCAACGTGTCTTATGAGAAGCTTTTATGTTTAAATCGTGCCATGACTTCTCATTGAACTTTGACGATAAAGACTTCTTTTTTCTATATACAATTTTCATTCATATACATGCACTTTGTCTGTGATTACTTTTACATTTTTATCTTTCATGGAATCGATTACAAATAAAGCAATACGGTATATATAATAAAGCTGTTTTCAATATCGATACTAGACATACTTCGGGCATCTTCAAAAACGCCATTTATATATCGAATTCTAAAAGATTACAAATTACATAGTGATGAATTAAGAACAGAGTTCAATCCGAACCAAGCGTTTCTGACACTTAACCATGACAACATGGTACTGTACCAATGGTTCGTTAAATGAAGATTAACCATATTTGGTCTAATCTAGTTGAATGAAAAGCCCATCCTTGTTTTAATTTACACATACATCTGATTTTCACGCTTCATTCACAAGTGATCTCATGACGTCACTCCGTGTGTCCCAGCTTGTATCAATTACCTGCAGTTTGTAATCATGGTAAGTTTGGTGTGCTTCCCATACATTATTTTTATCACCTGAAGCCGATAAAAAATGTCTTCTTTCTTCCCGTTTATTCAGGTGTTTGACACATTGCGTCTGTGACCTTGGAAGTCGGTCGAGGTAATTTGAAGAAACTTTGAAATCGTTCATCCCAGCTTGCTACAAACAAAATAGATGGTTCTGGGCCACTTAGTCAATGCTACAGACAAAATAGATGGTTCTGGGCCACATAGTCAATGCTACAGACAAAATAGATGGTTCTGGGCCACTTAGTCAATGAATGGGCTATGTTTTACGATTCTTTTTAAGCATTTTAGAAAACATTTGAGTTCCTGTCAAAATAAAGTTTAAGAATGTATTCTACGATTACAAAAAAAAAAAAAAAAAAAAACAACAAACAAAGTCGCACTAAATTAGTTGTAGCATATAGATATATTTTATTTACTTACAGATATACATTGTAGTGTGGAATGTTAACATTTACATTCATTACCTATCCGATGTTCATGTTACCATAACGAAACGTTCACTCCTGGATAAACAACAGTATCACTTACAATCACACATATCTACAGCAATTTCACGTGTACCATGTTCTTTTCTTGGGAAATAGTGTTTCGCTAATGTAAATCGGTATAATACATCTCATTTTGTTTCGCAGTAAAATATTTGTTCAATTAAATGCATTAACATAGACTAAATATTGTGAAGCATGAATATGTCTATCTGTACATCGATATACATAGATAATATTTTGGACAAACTGAATCTTTTAATGGAATGATTGATTTAAATGAAATAGTTAGTCATAGACTGACCAAATAACGACATGAAAAAATTAAAAAAAAACTTGTTCAGATAACATTGGAATCAAGGCAAAACCAGAGGAAGTAAATTGCATGTCCTAGAATAGTGTCAAATGTATTCAAATTCATGAGAATGAGATAAAGCATCATTCAACCGTGGACAAATGTATAGATGTATCATGAGAATGTAAGAATATTTATGTCGGACAATCTCTTCGATCTTTGTTACTACATGATGACCTTCGAGCAGACTCTTGAAGGCGGCTAAATCAGAACAAGATCAGCTTCAAGCAGACTCTTGAAGCCTGCTAACCAATATGAACATGATCAACTTCGAACAGATTCTTGAAGCCTGCTAACTAACATGAACAGAATTAAATTTGAACAGATTCTTGAAGTCTGCTAACTAACATGAACAGAATTAATTTTGAACAGATTCTTGAAGCATGCTTACTAACGTGAACAGAATTAATTTTGAACAGATTATTGAAGTCTGCTAACATGAACAGGATTGATTTTGAACAGATTCTTGAAGCATGCTTACTAACATGAACAGGATTAATTTTGAACAGATTCTTGAAGTCTGCTAACTTACATGAACAGAATTAATTTTGAACAGATTCTTGAAGTCTGCTTACTTACATGAACAGAATTAATTTTGAACAGATTCTTGAAGTCTGCTAACTAAGGTGAACAGAATTAATTTTGAACAGATTCTTGAAGTCTGCTAACTAACGTGAACAGGATTAATTTTGAACAGATTCTGAACAGAACAGATTAATTTTGAACAGATTCTTGAAGTGCTAACTAACATGAACAGGATTAATTTTGAACAGATTCTTGAAGTCTGCTAACTTAATTTTGAACAGATTCTTGAAGCAGAACAGGATTAATTTTGAACAGATTCTTGAAGTCTGCTTACTGCTTTTGAACAGATTCTTGACAGATTCTTGAAGCATGCTGAACAGGATTAATTTTGAACAGATTCTTGAAGTCTGCTAACTTACATGAACAGGATTAATTTTGAAAAGATTCTTGAAGTCTGCTAACTAAGAACAGGATTAATTTTGAACAGATTATTGAAGTCTGCTAACTTACATGAACAGGATTAATTTTGAACAGATTCTTGAAGTCTGCTAACTAACGTGAACAGGATTAATTTTGAACAGATTCTTGAAGTCTGCTAACTTACATGAACAGGATTAATTTTGAACAGATTCTTGAAGTCTGCTAACTAAGGTGAACAGAATTAATTTTGAACAGATTCTGCTGAACAGAATTAATTTTGAACAGATTATTGAAGTCTGCTAACTAACATGAACAGAATTAATTTTGAACAGATTCTTGAAGTCTGCTAACTTACATGAACAGGATTAATTTTGAACAGATTCTTGAAGTCTGCTAACTAACGTGAACAGAATTAATTTTGAACAGATTCTTGAAGTCTGCTAACTAAGGTGAACAGAATTAATTTTGAACAGATTCTTGAAGTCTGCTTACTAACATGAACAGAATTAATTTTGAACAGATTCTTGAAGTCTGCTAACTAACGTGAACAGAATTAATTTTGAACAGATTCTTGAAGTCTGCTAACTTACATGAACAGGATTAATTTTGAACAGATTCTTGAAGCCTGCTAACTAACGTGAACAGGATTAATTTTGAACAGATTCTTGAAGTCTGCTAACTTACATGAACAGGATTAATTTTGAACAGATTCTTGAAGTCTGCTTACTAACGTGAACAGAATTAATTTTGAACAGATTCTTGAAGTCTGCTAACTAACGTGAACAGAATTAATTTTGAACAGATTCTTGAAGCATGCTTACTAACATGAACAGAATTAATTTTGAACAGATTCTTGAAGTCTGCTTACATGAACAGAATTAATTTTGAACAGATTCTTGAAGCATGCTTACTAACAGGATGAACAGAATTAATTTTGAACAGATTAATTTTGAAGATTGCTTGAAGTCTTACATGAACAGAATTAATTTTGAACAGATTCTTGAAGTCTGCTTACTTACATGAACAGAATTAATTTTGAACAGATTCTTGAAGTCTGCTTACTTACATGAACAGGATTAATTTTGAACAGATTCTTGAAGTCTGCTTACTAAGGTGAACAGAATTAATTTTGAACAGATTCTTGAAGTCTGCTGCTACTTACATGAACAGAATTAATTTTGAACAGATTCTTGAAGTCTGCTAACTTACATGAACAGAATTAATTTTGAACAGATTCTTGAAGTGCTTACTGAACAGAATTAATTTTGAACAGATGAACAGAATTAATTTTGAACAGATTCTTGAAGTCTGCTAACTTACATGAACAGAATTAATTTTGAACAGATTCTTGAAGTCTGATTGAACAGAATTAATTTTGAACAGATTCTTGAAGCTGCTTACTAACTTCTTGAAGCATGAACAGAATTAATTTTGAACAGATTCTTGAAGTCTGCTTACTAACATGAACAGAATTAATTTTGAACAGATTCTTGAAGCATGCTTACTAACGTGAACAGGATTAATTTTGAACAGATTCTTGAAGTCTGCTTACTAACGTGAACAGAATTAATTTTGAACAGATTCTTGAAGCATGCTTACTAACATGAACAGAATTAATTTTGAACAGATTCTTGAAGTCTGCTTACTAACATGAACAGAATTAATTTTGAACAGATTCTTGAAGCATGCTTACTAACATGAACAGGATTAATTTTGAACAGATTCTTGAAGCATGCTTACTAACATGAACAGAATTAATTTTGAACAGATTCTTGAAGTCTGCTAACTTACATGAACAGAATTAATTTTGAACAGATTCTTGAAGTCTGCTAACTTACATGAACAGAATTAATTTTGAACAGATTCTTGAAGTCTGCTAACTAAGGTGAACAGAATTAATTTTGAACAGATTCTTGAAGTCTGCTAACTAACGTGAACAGAATTAATTTTGAACAGATTCTTGAAGTCTGCTTACTAACGTGAACAGAATTAATTTTGAACAGATTCTTGAAGTCTGCTAACTAACGTGAACAGGATTAATTTTGAACAGATTCTTGAAGTCTGCTAACTTACATGAACAGAATTAATTTTGAACAGATTCTTGAAGCATGCTTACTAACGTGAACAGAATTAATTTTGAACAGATTCTTGAAGCATGCTTACTAACGTGAACAGAATTAATTTTGAACAGATTATTGAAGTCTGCTTACTAACATGAACAGAATTAATTTTGAACAGATTCTTGAAGCATGCTTACTAACATGAACAGAATTAATTTTGAACAGATTATTTCTTGAAGTCTGCTAACTAATGAACAGTGAACAGAATTAATTTTGAACAGATTCTTGAAGTCTGCTAACTAACGTGAACAGAATTAATTTTGAACAGATTCTTGAAGTCTGCTTACTTACATGAACAGGATTAATTTTGAACAGATTCTTGAAGTCTGCTAACTTACATGAACAGGATTAATTTTGAACAGATTCTTGAAGTCTGCTTACTAACATGAACAGGATTAATTTTTGAACAGATTGCTACTTGAACAGATTCTTGAAGCATGCTTACTAACATGAACAGCATGATTAATTTTGAACAGATTCTTGAAGCATGAAGTCTGCTTACTTACATGAACAGGATTAATTTTGAACAGATTCTTGAAGTCTGCTTACTAACATGAACAGGATTAATTTTGAACAGATTCTTGAAGCATGCTTACTAACATGAACAGGATTAATTTTGAACAGATTATTGAAGTCTGCTAACTAACATGAACAGGATTAATTTTGAACAGATGTTGATTCAAACCCTCAGTGCTGTTTTGAAGAAA